GAGCTGCTGCCGTAGTTCTCTCTGTCGGCATGCTGGCTGGAATTTCGACTGGGACAGTGCCGAAATCAGAACCTTCTCGGATCAAAGTCGCGGCCTCCTTGGTGACGAACTCGCTATCGTTTCGGACCCCCGCTGAGAATGTAGCATTGCAACCACGTTTAGAACACCACTGAGTAGCATCGTTGAGCTTGTACTGAAGTAGCTTGACCTCCTGGCAACACAAAACTTGCACGTCTTTCTCTTCTCGGGATTGGACGAACGTCTTGACGCCCCCCAGCAGCTGCCGTTAAAGGCCATGATGTGAAGGTTGACCGCCCGTTTCACTAGTTGCTGCGGGTGCGCTGGCTTTGGGGAAACCGAGAGGTACCGATACCGCTACCCCCAGGACCTCTCTCGGGGTGCGTTCTGACCAGAATCTCGAGGCGAATCCAGCGGTGGCGAATCCCAGGAGGCCCAAAAGGGGGAAAACGGGTAGAGTGTAGCGGTATGGGTATTTTTAAATTTGTTTCAACTATTTTTTCTTTGAGCCTTCTAGGCCTGACGATATGACCTGGCCCCAGGGTCCCGAAAGCTAGAGTCTGGCCTGGAGGCGCCTCTGGCCCCCTTCGCAAGCGGGTCCGAGGGCTCCGGGAGTGCCGAGCCGGGAGGCCTGGCCGGGGCAGCTGTGGATCCGCTTGTCGCCCCCCACCAAACCACCCCAAATCAACCCGAAGCTCTCAATTGGCCCTTCATTTCCAGTGGGGGGCGTCGGGGAACGTTGAAAAGACAGCGTACCCCCCCAACCCGAAATTCGGGTCAAGTTCGGGCCTTCGGGTTGGGTTGGGGTGGTCTGGTAGGTAGGGCTGGACGTAAACGGTGTTTTGGAGATTTCGTGGGCCGTTTTCGTTTCGACTTCGTTTTGCAGTAGAGGTGGATTGAAGACGAAACGAGGGAACAACAAAAACAAAACGAAAACGACAAACACCGTTTAGGTTCAGCCCTGCTGGTAGGTAGTCAGTTTGGACTTTCCCTTCCGCTTCCGCGCCCCTCTCGAGGTCCACGCCGTCCTCGGTGGGGCCCCGCGCGGATCCCAGCGGGCCGAGCGGCGCCGGCGGGGCCCCCGCCGGTGGTCGGGCCCAACGAAGGGGGGGGGGATAGGGAAAGGGTCGGGGGCGGCAAAGAGGGGGGTGATGACAAGGGGGGGTGGATATCATGGCGGGGGCCATGATATCTCCCCAGATTCTCTTCTTGTTTCACCACGTCCCGGGTCCCTCCCCTGGGCCGCGCGCATGCCGCTGGCCATGATTTGCGCCCCCCCCTCTTGGACGCCCCCCTCTTGGACGCCCCCGAGAGGGGGGGGTACGAAATCTGCTGCATGCAGCTGGTTTCGGCCCCGCCGCCAGGCCCATTCCTCGATACATGGGCGCCTCCCGGCGCCGGGCGGCGCTGGGAGATTCAGCTACGTGAGCTGATTCTCTACCCTGCCCTTTGCTGTCCCCCCCTTTCGTTCCCCCCGAGTCGGCGGTGCCGAAGGGGTGCGAGTGGTGTGGCCGTGCCCGCGCCTCGGAGAAGGAAAAGGTACCGATAGGGCGTGCTTCTTCACTGCGTGGGGCATACCGGCCATCATAACCCCCAGCCCCCCCTCCTCCTCCCCCCCCTGTAGCGCATCGGAAGTGGACAGACCTCCTACCCTGACACGTCGATTAAGGAATTGGCCGTTTTCGGTTCGCGAGAGGGCGTCGCGGCCGTCGTCTTGGCGGGTCCAGGTCCGTCGGTTTCGGTCCCAGGCCGTTTTCATTTGGGGAGGTTTACTAAAGGAAGGTTTGTCCACCGCCGAGTAGAGCGTGTTCTTTTACTGCTTGGGGCATCCTGGACATTATAACCCTCGGCCCCCCCTCCCCCCCCCTATAACGCAACCCCCCTCCCCTCCCTAGTGCGCTCTGGGCACTGCCGCCGTGCGCACGGCGGGGGGGAGGCGTTACATTATACCCCCCCCTGCCCTCTCCCCCCTATAATGTACAATGCCCATTGCCGCCGAAAATAAAGAAACGCGCTCATACCGCTACCCTTGCCCAGTTTTCGCCTCTTCGGGCCTCGTGGGAAGCCGTCCTCTGCAGCTGGATTCGCCTCGGAATCCTGGTCAGACCGCGCCCGAGGCGAGGTCCAGAGAGTAGCGGTATCGGTGCCTGTCGGTTTCCCCGGGACCGGCAGCTGTTTTCGTCTTGGGAGTTGCAGGAATGGGCCGAATGCTCTGGTATTCCTGTTTGAGCTTGCTGGCCATCTCGTTGGTCTGCTGCCGGATCTCCTGGCTGATGCTGGCCCCGGATGGGAGCCTGACCTCGGACCTCGGTGAATTCCTCCGGGGTGGCGGGCGCCCAGTTTGGGGGCTGGGCGTGAGCTGGCAGACGATGGAGCGGCTGAACGCCAACACCAGTCGCTTGAGCTGCTGCAGCCTGGGCGGCTGCCTCGAGCTGGGCCTCGAGCTGCTGGATCTCCGTATACGTGTCGGTGCAATCCTTGGCGGCCACCTCGTACTCCTGGGTCTGTTTCACAATCTCCGAAACATGCCATTCCTCGTCCTTCTGTTTGTCTGCCATGCTGTTGCGCTAGGCTGATAGCTGATCCGACGTGTTCTGAGTCTGCTCTTCTGGTGACTTTGGTTCAAGGGCCTGGGCCTTAGCAACTTTGAGCTCCTCGGCTGCGGCCTGGTAGTGGGGTCCGCCGACCCCGTCGATCTTCTTCCAGAAGCTGACGGCCTGGGTGCAGACGTAGACTGGGTCCTCTGGGGCTGCTGCTTCTTATTGTTTCGGTGCGTCCACCTCGATCTGGTCGGGTTCGTCGGGGAACTTAACGTGCCTTGACCACCGATTCCGTGGCGAAGGAGGTGTGGACGCTGAGCTGGGATGGGGATTCGGCTTCTTGCCTTCGCCGAAGCTCGCCCCGTATGTACCACACTGCATTTGCCGCAGATCTGTCCAGGACCACTCCCCGCACGGTGGGATGACACACCACGTGGCTTCCCGAACAGCGCTGAGAGGGAGGCTCGGCGATCGCGCGAACCAAGGCAGCAGGCCGAGCAGCAGGAGCCGACCAAAAGACACCGGCGGCGGCGACCGCACGGGAGGTGCGAGGATGGCGGAAGCGCGCCGCGCTGTCCGAGGCAGTCAGGCCTGACGGAAGGGGTCGTCTATCTGCCGCGGCCGCGAGTCTCCGGAGTCGCGGCGGGAGGTAGCTCCGTTTCGAGCCAGCATGCTTAACGGGTAAGGAGGAGGAGGAGGAGGAGGAGGAGGAGGAGGAGGAGGAGGAGGAGGAGGAAAAGGGGGAGGAGGAGGAGGAGGAGGAGATGCGACCAGAGTACCTCATTCAAAACGAGAGCCCTGACACAGGAGGGTTGGGGAAAACATTTGCGGATCTGATAAGCTGCATCCCCCACCCCCGTCGGAGTCTGAAGTATTCGCCTCTCGTGTCCTCGTGGGATGTCTTGGGGCGCGTTTGGGCGTTCTCGGCCCCGTCTTGGACTCACAGCCGCTCCTGGGGCTCCCTGGATCCAGCTTGAGGCCCCGCAAACTTATCCTAATCGAAACGGCGAGAAGGCGACAATCGTTGGACAACCTTGCGTTTCTGACGAAATTTGGCGTCCCGGGTATCTTCGGTCGACTCCGAGGCCACTTGTAGTCGTCGTGGGGCCGTCTTTCTGCCTCTTGGAGGCATGCTGGCTACCATCTTGAGCCGACTTAAACCATCTTGTGTCATCTGTGTGGCCGTCTTAAGACATCTTGTGCCATCATGAAGTCATCTTGGCTGACGCGCCTCCCGAGGATACCCTTGATGAGCCCAAGCTATTAAAACTCCTTGTTGCTCTTCCTATGGTTCGGTTCATGTGCAAATGGGTCACGTCGCATCGCCGATGCATCGGTGATGCGGTTCGATGTGGAGCCCGTGTTTCCCCACGCCGGCGTCGCCGATGCATCGCCGACGTCGCCGATGCATCGCCGATGCATCGCCGATATATCGGCGATGCATTGGCGATGCGGCGCGATCCTTCGACCCCATCTACTCGGACCCCATCGAGGAGGCCTCTACATTTGCTCCACGTGCGCCGCGTATTACATGCTCCGTCCTCGCCAGGTTCGCGGCGCACGCAGAGTGTGGCAGATGCGCCAGTGCACTTGGCAGCACACGCTGGGCAGGAGGTCGACATCCCACTGCCCATGCTACTGCCACCCTGGCAACGCGACGGCGGGGTAGTCAGTGCGGTGCATGATGTGTGCACCCGCAGTCAGTTTGCATTGCTGTTTGGTACGATTTGTCGGCGATCACAGCGGACAACTATAACCTCCCCGCCGTCCCTGTCCTCAATCATTGTGGAGTGATAGCGGAGTGCCCGCTCATGATCCAGATGTCGTCGCCACGCGCACATTGATTTTCATGACAGGGGTAATGGGGTGTGTGCGCTCATGGTTCCTGGTTGGCCGCCGTGTGGGAGAGGGGGTGCCTATCAAGAGGGATCAACCACGAGCATTTTTCCGGACTAAGAAGAAGGGGTTTGAAACAACATGCTCGACTTCCACCTACGCCCAGAGTGCTGAAAAGGTAACGAGGAATCGTGATGGAAGGAGCAGGAATAGGAGCGAAGGACGAGGAGGAGGAGGAGGAGGAGGAGGAGGAGGAGCAGCAGGACAAGTGGGAGGAAGCACGGATGACTAGTAAGAGGATGACCGGCAGGTGCAATGCGCGAGGGAGAGATGGGACGAGGGACCTTGGCCTGGAGGTTTGAATTCATGCTGGTCGTGGCCTCGGTTGGCCATTACCCAGGATTCTTTACCGTCGCCTCCTTCTTCCTCCCCTTCCATCCTCCGCACCCCCTCCTTCCTCCTCCCCCTTCCCTCTTTCATCCTCACTCCTCTGCCACCTGCTCCGTCCTCCCTCCTCCCTCCGCACTTCTTCCTTCCATCCTTCGCCTTTCTCTTCCTTCTCCTCCTCGTCCTCCTCCTCCTCTCTCGCTACCTCCCTCCCTCCAGGAGTGGCACAGTCCGTGGTGAACCTTGCCACGACGTCATGGGAGCCATACCAAGGCGCGTTGCCCTGCCCTTGCTCCTCTTACTACTTCCCTTCATGCTACCCCTCCTCGGCGTCTTCTTCTCCGTCATTCTCGTCTTCCTCTTCCTCGTCGTTGTCGTTCTCATCTTTTCCCCCCCTCGTCGTTCTTCTCTTCCTCGTGGGAGTGAGGGCCAGTAGAATTGTAATAGGAATTGCGTTTCCAGGATCGAGGTTAGAATGCTTTTCGGGGGGACCCATCTGTTTTTCCACTGACCGTGACTCGTGGAGTGAGGTTTCATTCTGTCTTTCTAGGGCTTGTTGCCCTGGGAGCAATCTATTGTATTCCAGATGGGGAGGTGGTCCTGTGAGAGACAGTCCATGATGGTTTGCGATGGGTTGCCGCATTGGGGGCGCGAACCCGCAGCATCTCGCCGTGGAACGGAGCCCTAGGAGCAAAGATCATGTGGGGTGGATCCTGGCCTTTCGAAACGAGGACTCGTATCATCTGCGTTCCACTACTCGCAAAGTGCCTACTCGCAAACGTCCGAAAAACAATGTTTTGTCTCGGTGAAATGCGTAGCACCCCGCAGACGCGGGCAAGAGTGAGGGGGCGGTGGGGGCATCAGCAGTCTGCGAGACTTTGGAGAAGCCCGCCGCAGGCGCCAAAGTTTCACAAGTTATGCAACGAGCCCGCCACAGGCGCCGATCGGTTTCGTTAAATCAATGTGGGTAGGTCGCGGGTGGGTCGCAAATGGGTCGCGGGTGTAGAGGGCAGAATGTCGACCCCATAATAATCACCCCGACAAGCGAAGCCGTTTAGTAAACGCACACAAGGAGTGAATCGAACAGGGCAGGTCTGTTTAAACGCTCAGGGCCGTTTAGTAAACGTCAATTGTCGGGTCTGCGTGTTTTTTTTCCTCCCTTGAGGGAGAGTCGCGGGTTGGGTCGCGGGTGGGTCGCGGGGTGGGTCGCGGATGGGTCGCGGGGTGGGTCGCGGGTGGGTCGCGGTTGGGTTGCGGGTGGGTCGCGGGGTGGGTCGCGGGTGGGTCGCGGGTTGGGTCGCGGGTGGGTCGCGGGTTGCGTCGCGGGTTGGGTCGCGGGTGGGGTCGCGGGGTGGGTCGCGGGTGGGTCGCGGGTGGGACGACGACAACAAACAACAGCAACACCACCATCAACAACAGCAACAACACCACCACCAACAACAGCAACAACACCAATAGCAGCAACAGCAACAGCAACAGCAACAACAACAGCAACAACAGCAACAACAGCAACAATAACACCACCACCACCATCACCACCACCACCACCAACAACAACAACAACAACGCAACAAACAGAATTCTCACCACGAATTCCTTATTCAGCCACGCACCCAGGGACAATGAATGACCGTTCGGCCCCCTCACTCTGATTTGCCGTAGATACCCCGCGGCGGATCCAGGCCACTCGGAGCAGTTACTTTGCGAGGCTGTCTGCAGGGAGTGGCCTCTCGTGGGCCGCGTGGGCTCTCTCCTCGCGCGAGGACGCGGGGACACGAGGGTTCTCCTCGCGCGAGGACGCGGGGACACGAGGCCTCGTGGGTTCTCCTTGCACGAGGGCGCGGCCCTCTTCGCCTCGTGGGCTCTCTCCTCGCCTCGTGAGCTCTCGCGGGGCCTCGTGGGCCCCGCCCCCCCCAGGGGCACGCGACCACGCCAGTCTGCGCACCGATGGGTTTGTTCGGGCGTTGGGCCTCGGCAGGCGCTGGCAGCCACGCAGTGGAGCTTGTCTCGGGGGCCGTCTCGGGGCGTGCTTGGGCGCTTAGATGAGGAGGGGGAGGAGGAGGAGGAGGAGGAGGAGGAGGAGGAGGAGGAGGAGGAGGAGGAGGAGGAGGAGGAGGAGGAGGAGGAGAGGGAGGAGGAGGAGGAGGAGGAGGAGGATGATGATGATGAGGAGGAGGAGGAGGAGGAGGAGGAAGAGGAGGAGGAGGAGGAGGAAGAGGAGGAGGAGGAGGAGGAGGAGGAGGAGGAGATGTGTCTTCCTGAGGTGCTGGGCGCGGTTTCCGACTGCGCCCAGTATGTAAGATTGTGTATGATGCAGCTATCTCTGAACGCTCCTATACCTCTACAGTCAACTCGCGTCATAAGAATGGGCATCCTTCCCAAGGGGGCCCTTGCATCCTTACCTCCTCGGTCCGGCCTGGGCCACTTTCGTTGGCCCTTGCCCGCTCGAAAAGCTTCGGAATGGGCGTCCAAGGCCCTTGCGTCCTCATCGCGCATCCGTATGACACGGGTCGACTGCACGTCAATACGCGATGAGCTTGCGCCGTGGCCATCTGGAACAACATGGGAGCCTCCAGGGGCAGCGACCGCGTAAACACATCGAGCAGCGAGCGTTCGGGGGCATGTCATCGAATCCTACCCCGCACCGCTGGTCCGCCCTCTCTCTCACTCCTCGTTTGTGCTGCTGCTTCTCCTGCCCCTCCTCTTCCGCCTCGCCGCCTGCGTCCCCCTCCCTCGCCCTCCTCTCCGCTCCCCCCGCAGCTGCCGCCGCTTCGCCCCATCCCCCTCCCTCCATCCCTGGGCCGGACGAGAGGGGGGGAGGAAAAGGAAAACGGGATGATTCCCCCGCTCTCGTCCGACCCGGTACCCCTCAGGGAGTCCCAGGATGGCAGGGATAAATCGCTCCAGTTCATTTTGGAATGCTGAAACGGCCGCGGCCACAGCCGCCAGATCTCAGAGATCCCTGATTTATCCCAATCCGATGCTGTCCCTGTCATGGCTTCGTCTTGAACCCTCCCCGCCCCCGGCCTTTCCTTTCGCCCTGCTCCTCCCCGTCCTCCTTTGCCCCCTCTCGCCTCGTCCTCGCCCCTGTCCAGCCGTCCCCGTCCTGGTCCCCACCTCTATCCTCGAGCCCGTCCCCGTCCCCCCTCCCTTCTCCTCCTCCACCCGTACTCCTCAGGAATAATCCTTCCGCTTCGCACTCCCAGACGTGTTGGTAGGGCGGGCTGGGCGTTTCGCCTGAGACATCATCATTATTTATGATCCTGCTTGGCATTTGCAGTAGTTTCGAGGATGGAGGGCGGGTGTGCTAAAAGTCCAGGACCGGTCTTCTGTCACGGTTTAAGACTGTCAGGACGCAGTTGTCATGATGATCAGCGGTGTTGCAGTCTCAGGAATTGCGCTTGGGGGCGATTGAGGATTCTCAGACGGTTGTATTTCAATGGTGCTTTTCCTGCAATGCGCAGCGATTTTTGTACGGACCCCTGAAGAGGGAACTTGGTGGGTGAGTTTATTGCAACATCGTTGATGCGGCTGTCCCCCTCCCCTCCTCCTCCTCCTCCTCCTTTTTCTCGTTATCCTTTCCCCCGCGTCGTCGTCGTCGTCTTCGTCGTCGTCCCCCCCCGCCTCCCTCTCATCCCCCTCTTCCCCCTCCTCCCCGTCCTCTTTCTCCCTCTCTCCCTCCCCTTTCCTTTCCTCTTTCTCCTCATCGTCCGCCTGCCCCCACATTCCCCTCTCCCTGCCCGTTGCGGCCGAAGGCGCCCAGTGCTCGTCGCGCTTCCAGATCCCCGCCATGCCGCGCATGGCGACGGAGTACAACGGCGGCCGCGGCTGATACTAAAAGAGGTGTGTCACAGCCGGGGGTTTTGGTGAGCCCTCGACGCTTCCGTTGGGAAAGGGGGTGGGGTTGGGAGAGAGAGGAGGGATGGGGGAGGACGAGGGGGAGGAGGAGGATGAGGAGGATGATGAGGAGGAGGCGGAAGGAGGAGGATCAGCTGAAATGATGCAATATCACCATGTTGTATAAACGAATACATACATATATATATATACATGTGTATGTATGCTCATATTTCCGTACATGGCTACGTATAACTAGATGTGTAGGCGGCGCTATATGTATGTGGGCACGCATGTGTATACATGTATGCCTATGCACATGCAACTAAGTGTATTCATCGACCCACACATGTAATATGTAACATACACACATACATCGATGTAGGCACATGTGCACGCACACGCACATGCGTATGCATTGCATTGTTTGTGTGCAACCACGTGTGCTCATGCAAATGTGTACGCGCACGCATGTATATGTATACACATAAGTACACATGCACACACATACATACATCCACACATGCATACATACAAACATCCGTACACCTACATACATACACACATACATACATCCATCCATCCATCCATCCATCCATACATACATACATACATACATACATCCACACATACATGCATGCATACATACACACATACGTACACACGTACACACATACATACACACATGCACACACATACATACATGTATGCATGCATGCATACATACAAACATACACACATGCATACATACATACATACATACATACATGCATGCGTGCCAATCATCTCACACGCCTTTTCACCCCCGGCAAGGGGCGGGTGCTGCTGATGGTGAGCACGGGTGAAGCTGCTGCTGATGCTGATGCTGCTGCTGATGATGATGATGACGATGAGGATGACGATGATGATGATGATGATGATGATGATGATGATGATGATGAGGAGGAGGAGGAGGATGAGGATGAGGACGAGGATGAGGATGAGGATGATGATGCTGCTGCTGATCATGATGATTCTGCTCATGATGCTGACGATTATGATGATGATGATGATGATGATGATGATGATGATGATGATGATGATGATGATGATGCTGATAATGATGATGATGATGATGATGGTGATGATGATGGTGATGATGCTGATGATGATGATAACGATGCTGCTGCTGATGATGAAGCTGCTGCTGCTGATGATGTTTGTGAGGAATATGATGCTGATGATAATGACGCTGCTGCAGATGCTGATGGTGTTGATGGTGATGTGTTGATAATTCAAAAGGGTGCGGCTTGTGTTTTTTTGTTTGTGTGTGTATGTTCTTTGCATTTCCTGTCGTGCTGCCTGCGTATAGTTGTTGCTAGTTCGTACTCCTCTTCTTCAGCGTCCCCCAGTCTTCTTCGGGGCCTCTTGGGCTCCCTCAGGCCAGTCTGGTGGGCCTATCGCGCCATGTTGTGCTTGCAGACGCCCGTCAATGGACCAACCTATGCACAATCAATGATTTTTGCGCTTTGGGGGTCCTCTTGGGTTTTTCTTCGGCGTCTTGGGCCATCTTGAGGTCATCGTGGGTGTTCTGAGGCCTGAGGCCTCTCCTGTGTATTGGAGCCCTTCTGGAATTAGGAGGAGGAGGAAGCGGAGGAGGCGGAGGAGTAGGAGGAGGTGGAGTCGGAGGAGGAGGAGGAGGAGGAGGAGGAGGAGGAGGAGGAGGAGGAAGTGGGGGAGGCGGAGGAGGAGGAGGCGGAGGAGGAGGACTTGAAACGATATGGCTTAACGGGCGCCTTAACCCCGTACCGCTCGACGTAGTGGCATTGCGTTGCCGCGCCTGCAACGGCAGGACGGCCGAGCTTCGGCCATCTATGCGGACCACGTTCCTCGGATGCCTAGTTATGCCCTCGCTGTGAGGGTAGGATGCCGATGGGTCCCCTGGAGACAGGGGCGGGCATCCTAGCTCTAGGCTCGAGGTTGTGGATGCCAGCGCCCGTCAGCCGACAGGGCTGGCCATCCAAGCCAACGCTGGTTCCCACAGGATACCTGGACTGGTAGACAGCTGCCGCGCCCCGAACGGCAGGATGGCCGAGCCCTGGCCATCTACGCGGACCAGTTTCCTCGAATGCCCAGCTGTGCCGTCGTTGCGAGGGTTTGGATGTCAGGCCTGCCATAGAACAGGTTTAGGCACCATGGCTGTGGGCTACGAGTTGTTGGCGGCGCGCCGAAGGGGCCAGGGGGGAAGCGTGGCAAGGTTATCGAGTAAGATCCGTGATTCACCGAATCCCCCAGAGGACGAAAATGAAGTCCTTCCAGGGCTTCTGAGAAGCACCCACCCTGCTGAGAAGCCGAGCCCCATCCTCCTGCCCTCTTCGGAGCGCCGCCTTTGGATGCCAATGCCTGTCCGTCGACAGGGGAGGTCATCCAAGCCAAATCTGGCTCCCATGGGGTGCCAGTAGTGGCATGCAGTTGCTGCGCCCGCAACGGCAGGATGGCCGAGCTTCGGCCATCTGTGCGGACCAGGCTCCTTGGGTGCCCAGTTTTGACCTCGTTGTGAGGGCAGGATGCGGCAGGGTCCTCGGGAGGCAGGGGCGGGCATCCTAGCTCTAGGCTCTAGGTTGTGGATGCCAACGCCCGTCAACCGACAGGGCTGGCCATCCAAGCCAAAGCTGGTTCCCACAGGATGCCTGGACTGGTAGACAGCTGCCGCGCCCCGAACGGCAGGATGGCCGAGCCCTGGCCATCTACGCGGACCAGTTTCCTCGAATGCCCAGCTGTGCCCTGATTGCGAGGGTTTGGATGTCAGGCCTGCCATAGAACAGGTTTAGGCATCCTTGCTGAGGGCTCGAGATGTTGGCGGCGCGCCAGAGGAGAAGTCCTCCCAGGGCTTCGGAGAAGCACCCACCCTGCTGATAAACCGAGCCCCGTCCTCCTGCCTCTCCGGAGCGCAGCCTTTGGATGCCAACGCCTGTCCACCGACAGGGGTGGTCATCCAAGCCAAATCTGGCTCCCATGGGGTGCCAGTAGTGGCATGCAGTTGCCGCGCCCGCAGTGGCAGGATGGCCGAGCTTCGGCCATCTGTGCGGACCAAGTTCCTCGGATGCCTTGTTAATGCCCTCGTTGTGCGGGCGGGCTGCCGAAAGGTCCCCTGGAGGCAGGGGCGGGCATCCTAGCTCTAGGCTCTAGGATGTGGATGCCAACGCCTGTCACTCGACAGGGATGGTCATCCAAGCCCGAACTGGCCCCCCATTGTGCACCAGGACTGACAGCGTTTGCCGTGCAAGTCAGAGTTGGTACCCACTGGGTATTACGACTGGTATCAAGTTGCCGCGCCCGCAACGGCAGCATGGTCGGTTTTGGGCCATCTAGGCGGGTCCGGTCCCTCGAATGCCCAGCTGTGCCTTTGCTGCGTGGGTCGGGTGTCAAGCCTGCCACAAGACAAGCTTGCATCCCCGCTGATGGGCTTGATTTTTGATGGCGACGCCTGGCCATCAAAAATCAAGCCCATCAGCGGGGATGGCCATCCCCGCGATCGTAAGGGATGGCCATCCCAGCCCAATCTGGCCCCCGCGGGATGCTAAGAGCGGCATGCAGTTGCCACGCCCGCCGCGGCAGGGGGGCCGAGCTTCGGCCATCCTCGCGGACCAGACTCGTTGGTCTCTCAGCTGGGCCCTCGTTGCGAGGGCAGGATGCCAAAGCCTGCCCTGAGACAGGGCTGGCAATCCAAGCTGTGGGCTCGAGGTTGTGGATGCCAGCTCCTGTCCAACGACAGGGCTGACCATTAAAGCCTAAGCTGGATTACCAAGAAGTATAACAACCAGTATTGGCCATCTACAGGGCTTGCCCTGAGTTTGCCGCGCCCGCAACGGCAGGATTGCCGAACTTCGGCCATCTACGCGGACTAGTTTCCTCGAGTGCCCTGCATGTGCGTGCTTGCTGTGGGCTCGAGGTGGTTAATGCCAACCCCTGTCATTCTAGAGGAATGACCATCCAAACCCGAACCGGTTCCCACTGGCTTTGTTGCCGCGCCCGCAACGGCAGGAAGCCCGATCTCCCGCCATTTATGCGGACCAATTTCCTACGCCACTGTCGTCCTCCCGTTCCTTGGACGAGGGGTTACGCAAGGGTGTTCGTCGAGTTCCAAGCGCTCTTAGTGGCGCCCCAGGCGTCGCTTGCGCTTTCCCCTTAACCAGGATGGAACGGCGTCGGCCCGGGGAGGAGGAGGAGGGGGAGGCGGAGGAGGAGGAGGAAGAAGATGAGGTGGAGGAGGAGTGGGGGGGGGGGGGGGGCGCCTTGTTTGAGGGGCGCTGGGGATATCAGCTGTCCCCCGATCGTAGTGCGTTCGTGGCAAGTGGACCCGCGGCGCCGCCGGGTGGAGGAATTGGAGGGGGACAAGTGTAAATTCAAGGCTCATCAACGATGTTGGAATAAACCTTCCTTCCAAGTTCCTTCTTCGTACAGGCGGCACAGATTAGTAGGTCGGCCCTGCCAGCTCAAGGGCACCCTGTGTCTTGTGTCCCGCGATCCATGCCTTTGTACACTCCAATGGCGATGTGGCCTTCGGAAGGGTCTTGTGTCCTCTCGCGTGTCCTCTCCAATCAAGCCCGACCGTAGGCCCCTGCACGGGTTCATTAAGGAAGTGTTTCGTTGAAAGACAACCGTGTGAAGATCCTGAGGCGTGCCAAGACACCGTTGTCGGGAAGTCAACGCCTCGAATCAACCTGACTGTTGCGCTTTGGCGGTTTTGAATTGTGCAGGAGCGCCGCTCCTGGGACTTCAACGCCGCGAATCAACGTATCTGCTGCGCCTTGGCAATCCTGAGTAGCGCCAAGACGCCGGTCCTGGTGCGTTGACGATGGGGGCCCGTGGAACTTCGACAGTTTTTTTTGACGAGCGTGCGCGTCGTTCGTGCGAGAACCACATTTTGCACAGGAGCCTCCCTCCGTCGGTGAAATTCTCGCAGATGTTTCAGACGGGTGTGCGCGGCGCTGAGGCGAGA